GCCATACACATCAACAACAATGTGACAACGACAGCGTATTCGATAGGTGAATGCCTAAAACGCGTGCGTGTTATCACACAATCGTTTTTAGCCTTCTGATGTTCCAACCTACTTTAGCCTCGATCACCAGAAATAAATTCGAGCACCAGAAAAGTACCCAACAACTCGAGGGTCGGGCCCTGGGGGACATTCGGCCGACACTGTTTCGGCACTCTGTCGACATTTTTCTGGGTGCTCGAAATTAGTTCTGGGATGTGGTCCTTAAGTGCGATGGGAGCAATGAAATTTTAGCCTCCGCACATTTCCGCCTCCGACACCAGAGGCAATCAGCACACAGCAGCTATCATTGTTATCGTTGGTTGTGGTCCGCGCGCCGTGCTCCAGTGCGCGCGCACCATCATACTTATTCGCTGGTCGCTGCTCAACGAACCTACATCACGTAATGGCCGAAGCAATGTACACCCAAGTCACTGAGATGGTAGGTCGAAGCACGATCGTAGAACAAGACACGTATCCAAACGCTCTGTCAGAATTATTACTTTATCCCCTGGCAAACATTTTGCTGTCCGCCCGTCGAGCGTACGCGCTGCGCGAACGCTCGTGACACGAGGCTGGCCTCGCGGACGGGGGGGGTCGTATTCCTGTGCGCGGCTGGGCGCGAACGACCTTTTAGTGGGCTCCCCACTGCGATCACGTCGGGCCTGTCCCTCTACAGGAGGGATGCTCAAGCAGGGCCACAAAATAGTCCAGGGACCATTCTTCTGGCAATGTTTGAATATCTGGGGATGCTCCTTTTGGGGTACCTTTTAATTTGTCGCCCCAAATTCCCCCTGCGGGGGGACGTGCCCGACCTGACACTGCGATCGTCGAGGTCCGAGGCTCGACCGTCCGCCTCGGGTCCTCCTCCCCGCCCCCCACGGCCCTCCGACGGCGGGCGTGGGCCTCGCGGGCGCCGCGTGGCGCCCCCACCCCCCGCAGAGGCTGCCACGGCCGGCCGAAGCCACGTGGGGGGGGGCCTCCCCTCGGCGGTCCATCGGCGTCGCCCTCAGCATGCCCGCACCGCAGGTGCGTCGCCTCCCCCCCCCCCCCCCCCCAGGGGCGGCGCACTTGCACTGCAGGTGCGGCCCCCAGGGGCGTCGCCCCCCCCCCCCCCAGGGGCGTCGCCCCAGCATGCTTACACTTTCGGTGCGTCGCCCCCTGGGGGAGAGGGGGGGGGTCGCACCGAGACATCCTGCAGTACACGTGTGTCGCGGCGGGCGCTTGCTGGCCACACCGCCCGGGACAGGAGCTGCTGCAAGGTGGGGCATGCTATCTGTCCGGGTCGGGCGCGCGCCTCCGAGGAGAGCATGCAGTGCAAGCGTATTGACGAGCGAACAACTCACACCCATACCCATAGGAGGGTCGAAAGGAGGGGAACTGGCTATGGGTATGGGTGCGAGTTGTCGGACCCTGGGGGGAAGCTTCCGTTCGAGCGGGGACCCCCATCCGACAACACGCACCCATAGCCTCCTCCGTCCCCCCTATGGGTATGGGTGCGTGTTGTTCGATCGTCACATATCTCCGCGCGTCCCAGTTCAAGGGTGGGGGTCCTGAGGGATGGGGCCCCGAGGGCGAGGTGCCTCCCCATCCCTTCGGGGGCCCGTCCCTGAGCCGCCGCCGAGCCATGGGGATCGGGGGCGCCGCCATCGGCCAGGGCCGCCCCGCGGCAGAGCACCCGACAAGGGGGGGGGAGGGGCGGCGGCTCCCCGACGGGGGCGCCCGCAGGGCCCCCCGCTGCCCTCGGTCGGGAGGGAGGAGTGTAGGCACGGGCACATATGCACGCCTCCTCCTCCTCCTCCTCCTCCTCCTCCTCCTCCTCCTCCTCCTCCTCCTCCCTCCTCCTGCTCCATTCCTTCTCCTTACGGATAAATCCTCCCTGCCGTGGAAGGGCAGAACGTTCTGGACTTCCCGACCCGGGTCCCTTTCGAGCGCCCTCCTGCTCCAAGGACCGATGCCCGTTCGTGTCCGCGGTTGCGGATGAGGGTGAGGGGGCGGGTGAGGGGGCGGGTCGAGGGCGGGTCGCGGGCCGAGCCGAGGGCGTGACGACGAGAACACACAACAAACAGGGGGCCACATGCGAACCCTACCCCTACCCCACACGATTCCTGAGGGGGAGGGTGGGGTTCACTTCGTTCGGGAGGCGAAGTGAACCCCACCCTCCCCCTCAGAAATCGTGGGGGGTAGGGGTAGGGTTCGCATGTGCCCCCCTGACAAACAACGCAACAGCAACAATCCGCACCGCGGAACCCCACTTCGGCCACGCGCCCAGGCACGGTGAATGCTTGCTCGGCCCCCTTACTCTGGTGTTTTTTCTGTTCCAACCCACATCCTAGGTGGTCTTCTGGTTTTCCCTGGACACCCTGCGCAGTCCTCACCCACACCCTCTCCTCTACACAGTCAGTCCCTCACTCACCCACTCACTTACCCAGTCAGCATCTTCACCATCATCATCGACATCACACCCACACTCAATCGCACACACGCACACTTATACACATACACGCACAAACGCATTAACACACTCACGCAATCACGCACTCATACATTCAGGCGGGAACCTCGTTTTTGAGTGACTTGCGGGGAAGTCTCAGGCGGGAGCCCCCTCCCTACGGAGCCCGCACTTCATGTTGGTAATCGGAACGGGTCATCCGAAGCTTGTAAGTGTTGCCATTTTTGGGGCCCTCGCGCTTGAATGTGAAGAAGGCTCAGGCGGGAGCCTCGTTTGTGAGTGAATTGCGAGGAAGTCTCAGGTGGAAGCCCCCTCCCTATGAAGCTTGTGTTTCGTGTTGGTAATGGGAGCGGGTCATCCGAACCTTATAGCAGTCGTTCTGTTTAGGCACCTCACGCCTGAAATTTGCAGACACCTCGGGCGGGAGCCTCGCGTGTGAGTGAATTGCGAGGAAGTCTCAGGCGGGAACATCCCTATGGAGCCCGCGCTTCACGTTGGTAATCGGAGTGGGTCATCCGAATCTTGTAGCAGTCGTCAATTTTGAGCCCCTCACGCTTTTTTCAAGAAGATTCAGGCTGGAGTCTCGTTTGTGAGTGATTTACGAGGATGTCCCAGGCGGGAGCACCATCCTCAGGAAGCCCGCGCTTCTCGTTGGCAATCGGAGCGGGTCATCCGAACCGTGTAATTGTCATCATGTTTGGGCCCCTCACGCCTGAACGTTGAAGAAACCTTAGGCGCGAGCCTCGTTTGTGCGTGAGTTGCGAGGAAGTTTCATGTGGGAGCCCCCTCCCTATGGAGCCTGTGTTTCATGTTGGCAATCGGAGCGGGCCGCCCGAACCCTGTCACAGTCGTCATGTGTGGGCCCGTCACGCTTGAATGTTGAAGAAGCCTCAGGCGGGAACCTCGTCTGTGAGAGCTCAAGTTGGCGATCTGAGCGGGGCATGCGAAACCTTGACTTGTCGCCACTTTGGCTTCCCAACCACGCTTGAATCTGGAGGAAGTCTCAGGCGGGTGCCTCGTCTGTGAGTGAGGAAGTCTCGAGCGGGGGCACCCTCGCCATGGGGCCCGCAGCTCCATGTTGGAGTCTGGGCGAGTCCTCGGGATCTCGTAGCTGTCGTCACTGCTGGGCTCCTCAGAAACGAAAGGTGATGCGAGCCGTCGCGGGCCAATCCGAGCGGGGTCACGATTTGGTTTTTCAGAGGGCCACGCGCTCGGCTGAATCCAGTCCCCCGAATCGACTGCGCCAGGGATGAGGAGGCTGGTCGTACGGGCATATCGGATGAGCATTGGTGGCTGCACTTGTGCGTCATGTTTTCCCGCGCCACGCGCATGTGGCACATGCTGATCCTGCGGCCGCCCACGCGTTCCTGGAGAGCGGGCCGCCGGCGTCCCTGCGGCGGAAGGCGTTCTGGAATTCGACGAGATAACGGAGAGCTCCAGAGCGGAGGCGGAGCAGCTCGCGGCACGGCCGGGCTTCGCGTTGCCCCCCGCCTGAGCGCGGCCGCGCCCGCCTCGAGGCCCGCGGAGTTGTCCCAACGTGCTGGCCCGCGGGGTTGCCCCGACGGGCCGTCCCCGTGCCCCAGCGGCCCGCGGCGTTGTCCCACAGGCGTGGCCCGCGGGATTGCTCCAAATGCTTCGCGGTGTAGCCGTCGGCGAACGTGCGCGCGCTGGCCGAGGCAATTGCGCCGAGGAACATCGATTTGCTTGCCCTGATCAGGGGGCACGAGGAGTACGACAACGGGGGAAATGGTAGGGGATAAATGACGAAGCGGAGGTGGGGCAGGAGGAGGAGGAGGAGGAGGAGGAGGAGGGGGAGGAGGAGGAGGAGGAGGAGGAGGAGGATGAGGAGGATTAAGCAAAGGAGGAAGAGGATGAGAGGGCAAGGCAGAGGGCGAGAAGAGGGTATCCGCCAAGGCGAGGAGGAAAAAGGGCTAAAGACAAGCTAAACAGACTCGTGCGGGGTCCCACCGTCGGATTCATTGTTAGTTAGTTTTTTTAGCAAGCCCGACCCCGCCCGAAGTGCTTGATCCGCATCCGTATTTCATGTTTCCATTCAAGTTCTTCCGACTGGCGGGTGCGCGTCTATTTGCGGGAACAGATGGGACACATATGGGACGTGGATAAGGAAAAAGGAACATCTATAATATGTGACCAAACGTGGGGACCGGTGTAACATGTGTCTCTTTATATGTGTGTTTCCAGGCGCCTTGACCCAGCTTTTCTGAAGAGGGTATCGATCCGAAAAGCAGAATGCGGGCGGTGCTGTAACGACAAAATTGCCTGCTCCCGAGCGTCCTGGGGCGCTTTGAGAAGGCCGCGGCGCCCGAGACGTTGTCCAGAGCCGCCAGATCCGAGAGATTCTCGATCCGTCGGGAGCCTTCAAACGGGGGTCAATGCAAACGGGGGTCAGCCAGAGCGCCCGATCTTGCAGGATCCTGCAGAGTCAGGGGCGTGCTGATTCGGGTTTGAGAACGGGAACCTGCAGGATCCCAGGGGATCCTTCGCGTTGACCCGGGGTTGGGCGCAGGATCTTGCAGGGTCTCGCAGGATCCTGCAAGGCCCGACTGGCCCGGGTCAGGACTGACCCGGGTCAGAAGATCCCCGACTCCGTCCCCGCCCGACGTCATCCTCGTTCTGGTTTCGTCTGGCTGGAAAGGCCTCGAGCGGCGGGCCGCTCGCGCAGGGGGCCGCCGGCCTCGCTCTATACCGCCCCCGCCCGCGGCCGCCGGGCCGCGTGCTGAATGTCGCCTCGCAGGTCGATGTGATTTTTGGATGGTCTCTGCAGGCTTGCGCCGTGTGCGCCGAACTCTTTGATCTTACCCTCCAAATCGGGGGAAGAACAAACACCCATACCTTTACCTTTGCCTCGTTCTTGCCTGTTTGGGCCTCCTGGGAGGCCCGTGTCGCCACCGCTGGATTCGCCTCGAGATCCTGGGCGGAACTCACCCTGGGAGAGGTCCAGGGATAGCGGTATGGGTACTGTTTTGTCTCCCCAGCAAACAAAGCCCGGGGAAGAGTCGGAACCTCTCATATGAATTCCCCCGGGGGTCGTGCTTGGCCAGCCCCCCCCTCAAAATTGGCACTTTGGGGTCCTCGGTCGGACGGGGCTAGGACGAGAATATATCCTCCCCAGGGCGTTCCAGAATGCTCTTAGGGCCGCTCTGAGAAGGCCGCGGCGCCCGAGACGTCCTCCAGAGCCGCCGGATCCGAGAGGTCCTCGATGTATCCTCACCCGAAATTATCCTCGTCCTGGCTTCGTCTTACTTGGGGGGGAGATTACGAGGGGGGGGAACCATCTCACACGCCTGGAGACCCACAAGGGGTCGGCGGATTTTGTGGTGGCCTGCGCCGAGCGGCGCAGTGGATCGGAACAGGGCCAGTCGAGACCAACGGCACCCTGCCAGGCGTTATTGTTCTGCCTCTCGGGGCCTTCTGGGGCCAGAAGTTTTTTTATCCCCTGGCGATAACGGCCGTTGTCCGGAGGGGGGAGGGGGGGTGGCGAGGGGGCTGGCAACATCACAGGTCGCGCCGGCGCCGTTTGGGAATGTGGCTGTCCCTCTAGCAATTCCCAAACGGCGCCGGCGCGAGCCGTGACTGTACCAGTCGGGGCTCGAGAGACGAGTCAGAGCGCCCGATCTTGCAGGATCCTGCAGAAACAGGGGCGCACTGACCAGGGTTTGGGAATAGGAGCCTGCAGGATCTTGCAGGTTCCTGCAATGCCTGGCTGACCTGGGTCTCAATTGACCAGGGTCAGAAGATCCCCGAACCAGATGGGGGGAGGGTGGGGGCATCCCCGGTAAAGGTCGTTATCGCGAGTCTTCAATTTCACATCGACCTCCTACAGAGGCTTCTCGTCCCCACGGCTGGATCCATCTCGCAAAATGATCCGCCGCTGTCTCTAGGCCTCCCAATTGGGTCGAAGTAGATGGGGTGGGAGGATTGCGCCGCATCGCAGATGCATCGCCGATGCATCGGCGATGCGACTCGATGTGGAGCCCGATGTTCTCCATCCGGCTTCGCCAATACACCGCGGACGTCGCGGATGCATTGACGATGCGGCGGGTTCCTCCGACCCCATCCACTCGGACCCCGTCTAGGAGGCCTCTATTGTCTCAACTGGCCCTTTTGGGCGTTCGTGTTGTTGGCCATCCCCAGGTCGTCGTCTGACAAGGCATATCGGGACTCCAGAAGAAGCAGTCCCGGCATGCCACCTGTGGGGATGTCGGATGTGGAGCAGTGGGACTCCTGAAGGGATCCTGTGTTCTGGCCACAATCGTACAGAGAAATGAGTGAGGAGTTGCGAGGTAAGCAACTCCTGCTGCCCTCATCTTCCTCTTCCTCATTCTTGACCTTCTCCCACCTCCATCCCATTCTTCCCTTTCTCCCCACTCCACTTCTCATACCAATCATCCATCCATCTAGACTCCGCCCTCCTCCCTGTTCCCTCTGTTTCTTCCCCCTTCCTCCTCATCTTCTCCTTTGCCCCACTCCTGCCCATTTCTCGTCCCCACGACGAGGAAGGAGCTGGAGGAGGATGCGGGGTTCCAGAGGGTCACTGGGCATGGAGGAGGGGAGGAAGGACGGGACCGCCTCCCTTCGTCCTCGACCACCCTCGCTTCACGTGACTTTCCTTCCTCACCCAGGCTCCTCCCTCTACTGGAGGATAAACACGCTTCCTTTGCCTTCTCTTCTTCCCTTCTGCCTCCCATCTGCCTCCTCCTGGTGCTCAGTCTTCGTATCTTCCTCCTGCTCATTCCTCCGCGTTCCCCTTTCCAGGAGAGGGGGTTGTCGCAAGAAGAGGATGGGGGAGGATGCGGAGGGGGAAGGGGCAGGGGAGGAGACGAGGGAGAGCAGGGATGAGGAAGATGGGAGGGGGAAGGTGGGGAACAAGGGGAGGGGGCATGGGGAAGGTGGGGCGGACAAAAGAGCCAGGAGAGAGGGGATGCGCGAGAGGGACGAGAAGGACGGTGGCGACGGATGGGCCCGGGCTTCCGAGGAACCTAGTCATTCAGTCCGTGAGCCTGCATGGGTCTCGATCTCTTCCCCGAGGATGCCTGCACGTCATCACCACGGGCGGGTTCGCCAGGTCTCGGGCCCTGGGGCCCTCGCAGCGGTCCGGCTGGGAGGATGTGCCGCAGAGAGCTGGGGTCTCCAGCGGTGTGGCATCCCCGTGCGCCACGCCGGGTCTCAGGGAAGCACACACAGGTGGATTGAGGCGCGCGAGGTAGCGACGGGTCCCGTTCCGGTGCAGGATCGGCGCGATCCGTCGCGAGGCCAGGCGGCATGGTTAGGCCTCTTGTTCCAGGGGGGGGGCCTTCCCCGACCCATGGATCTGTCGCGCACACACCAGATGCTTGGATTCATAGTCCATGTCAGCGCGCACGCTACAAGAGAGGCCCTCCGCTCGAGTGACCTCCGGCGTGCAGGATTCGCAGGTGGGGGGGTCCAGGAGCAACCACAGGGGGGGGGACTCAAGGGGGGATGCATCGACATCCAAGAAGTCCGCGCGGAGCCCCAACCCTTTACGTTTGTGGAGTTTGTTTTGATCCTCCTCTACCACTGGCCCTCGTGGCAAGACCTCCAGGCGCCGCGAAAGTACCTCACGGCAGTCCTTCCTCGCGGACCTGGGGGTCTGCGAATGGGGGGGAATGAGGCGGGGCGCGCTTGGGCCCGCGGCGTGGATCTTGGTCCTGGTGAAAGGGTCGAGGCCCTCCAGGCCCACGGCGTGGAGGAAGCACGACTGCGGAGGCCTGTTCCTCGAATAGGAAGAGTAATAACCAGAAGTAACAATATAATACGAGTACTAATAGGAATAATACTACGAATAGTAATGTTGTTCATAATCGTAATAGTGGTATTCGTAATACTTCTACTAAGCAGCCTCATACTACTATCACTACTATTAATAACAGAATATTGAACAAATAAACGGAATCAGCATAACGTGTCGGCTCTCCGCGCAGGTCTCTTGGATCGGAGCTGGGAGCCCAGCGCCTCCAGCGCCACCCCTGGAGGGAGGGGGTCCAGCGCCGATGCAGGAATCAATTCGCGCTGGCCCCTGAGGCTTTAGGTTCGTGCCGTCTTCTCTTGCAGGAAGCTTTGCCGAGCGCGTTCTACTGCTGGCAAAGTACGTCCGAAAACACCTGTCTGCTTTGTTATACTTTATCGTAGATTTCCCGCGAGGGATCCAGGCCATTTGCGAGTAGTGGAACGCGCTCGTCGAAAAGTGGAGGCTCCTCCATGTCCTCTACTGCCGACCCCCCCCTCGTCCTCTCCTCCTTCTCCAGGGATTGGGCGGGCGATCTATGGGAATGCTTGCGTCCACAGGCACGCCCTCCGAAGAGGCCTCCCGGGCCCACGGCCTGAAGAGAACACGACGTCGGGGGCCCGGGTTGTCCCCCCCCTGGCTCCTCCCAGCTCCCAGCACCGCAAGGTGTTCTTGGCCGCGCAGCGGAGCCGGGCCGGCCACGACGCAGCGTGGCGGTGGGCCGTTGCTCTGCGGACGCTCTCGCGGAGCCAATCAGGCAAGCATGCTGGACCCTGCCACCCAGAACTCCAGGACTCGCCTCCTCACCCCGTCGTGCCTCGTCCCCCCCCTGTGCAGCCACGGGAGGGGGGATCTGCTGGGGATCCGTGCCCTGGACGCTCCGAGCTCCCAGGAGCCTCACGAGAGCCTCCGAGGACCCCCCGTCGGAAGCATCGCCCCGAGGAGGAGGAGGAGGAGGAGGAGGAGGAGGAGGAGGAGGAGGAGGAGGAGGAGGAGGAGGAGGAGGAGGAGGAGGAGGAGGAGGAGGAGGAGGGGGAGGAGGAGGAGGAGGGGAGGGGGCGGGGAGGAGGGGAGGGGGAGGGGGAGGGGGAGGGGAGGGGAGGCGAGGGGGTCGACCTCCCAGGGAGGGCGTGGCGCGGAGGGCGCCCGGGCACGCTTCGGCGAGGGCGAGGCTGGTGAGGCCCAGCCGGCGGCGGTTCCGGGCACGGCGTGGCGGGAGCGGGGAGTGAGTGGACCACCGGGGGCGGTCCCCTGCTCGCCAAGTGCCTGCTCGCAAACGTCGTGGAACAACCTGCTCGCCTCGATGTAGTGGGTCGTGGATCCCCCTCGGCGGAGCCAGGCCATTTGCGAGTGGCTACTTTGCGAGAAGTGGAACGCGCTCGTCTAGCGGAGAAGAGGGGCGCGGAGGAGGGGAGGACGAGGAGGGCGGGAGGGGGGCAGGACCGCGACCACGACGTCGACGACTGCGGCTGCGACGGCGACGACGACCGCACCGCGACGAAGGTTGCGGCGACGACGACAGCGACGACGATTGCGGCGGAGGCGGCGTCGTCGGCGGCGGCGGCAACGAAGTCTGCGGCGGAGGCGTCGTCGTCGGCGGCGGCGGCAACGAAGTCTGCGGCGACGACGACAGCGACGACGGTTGCGGCGGCAGCGGCTGCGGCGGCGGCGGCGACGACGACGACGACGACGACGACGACGACGGCGACGACGACGAGGACGACGACGTCGACGACGACGACGACGATAAGTGCCCGCGCCCCAGCGCGCCAAGGAGCGAGAACTCACCGAGGAGGAGGAGGTGGACCGCGTCGTTCAGCAGAAGCTGCGCGAGGCTGAGGCCCCTCATAGGGTCGGAGGGAGCGGTGAGGCAGGGCTTCATCAGGGGCAACGTTAGGGGGGTACGTAGGCTCAGGGTGGACGCATCTGCCCCCGATCGGCCACTCATCGCCGATAAGGGCCCGATAGCCCACCCCGCCTGGGACCTTGCGGATTCGCTATCGAGGGCCTATCGCCGATCTGTCGGGGAAGCAGTGCGGATTCCAGGTCGACGTTTCCCCCCTGAGCCGGTCCCCCCCAAACGTTCCCCCTCAGGGGGAGGGAGTGGTGAGGCAAGGCTCCAGTGTGCGCGGAGGCAGCCTTTTTGAGCGGGGCTTGTCTGGTGAGAGTCCGTCCGATAGCCCTCAGCACTGGACGGGTTTGTGACTAGGAGACCAAGCGCTCGAGACGGCCTTGGTGAATGGCCCCAGTCAAATTATGGTCGGCTGATCGAGAATCATCTTGGGCTCGCCCGATGGAGGTATATCAGGCTGTCCTGAGCAAACCAGGTGCCGCCTCTGGCGGCGGCTTCCAGGATAGCAGCATGATATTGTTTCATGCTTACTATGTACACCTCATTTAACTATTGTTGTAATTATGTTCCCGATACCGCTGCGACTGCGGACACCTGCATCTACGACGAGTAATATCAGTAGTAATAGTACTAGCCGTAGTAGTAGTAGTAGTAGTAGTAGTAGTAGTAGTAGTAGTAGTAGTAGTAGTCGTAGTCGTAGTCGTAGTAGTAGTAGTAGTAGTAGTAGTAGTAGTAGTAGTAGTAGTAGTAGTAGTGGTCGTAGTGGTCGTAGTGGCACTCGACGTATTCGTTGTCGTCGTAGTAGTAGTAGTAGTAGTAGTAGTAGTAGTAGTAGTTGTCGCAGCAGCAGCATCAGCAGTAGTAGCAGTAGCAGTAGTAGTAGTAGTAGTAGTAGTAGTAGTAGTAGTAGTAGTAGTAGTAGTAGTAGTAGTAGTAGTAGTAGTGGTAGTAGTAGTAGTAGTAGTAGTAGTAGTAGTAGTAGTAGTAGTAGTAGTAGTAGTAGTAGTAGTAGTAGTAGTAGTAGTAGTAGTAGTAGTAGTAGTCGTCGTCGTGGTAGTAGCAGTAGCAGTAGCAGCAGTGGTAGTAGCGGTAGTAGTCGTTGTCGTTTTCGTCGTAGGAGTAGTAGTCGTAGTAGTAGTAGTAGTAGTAGTAGTAGTAGTAGTAGTAGTAGTAGTCGTAGTAGTAGTCGTAGTAGTAGTAGTAGTAGTAGTCGTCGTCGTCGTCGTAGTAGCAGCAGGAATAGTAGTGGTAACAGTAGTCGTCGTAGTGGCAGTCGTAGTCGTAGTAGTAGTAGTAGTAGTAGTAGTAGTAGTAGTAGTAGTAGTAGTAGTAGTAATAGTAGTAGTAGTAGTAGTAGTAGTAGTCGTATTATCAGGAGTCGCAATAATCTGTACATCCGTGGTAAATGTAGTAGTAACCGCAGTAGTCGCAGCAGTCGTAATAGCAGATTCAGTAGTAGTAATAGTAGTAGTAGTGGTAGTATTAGTCGTAATAGTAGTAGTAGTAGTAGTAGTAGTAGTAGTAGTAGTAGTAGTAGTAGTAGTAGTAGTAGTAGTAGTAGTAGTAGTAGTAGTAGTAGTAGTAGTAGTAGTAGTAGTAGTAGTAGTAGTAGTAGTAGTAGTACTATTAGTAGTAGTAGTAGTAGTAGTTAGTAGTAGTAGTAGTAGTAGTAGTAGTAGTAGTAGTAGTAGTAGTAGTAGTAGTAGCA